TAGAAGGGAGCTATGTGAGGAAGCAGGCTCTCCAGAGAATCCATTTTAAGACAAGAATGAGAGCAGAAAAAAAAAAACCAAAAACACAGCTTTGGTGGCGGAGCAGCCAGAATGGAGGTTTGGGTGTCTGTCACTGCAGCTAGTGAGCTCTAGGGACCAAACCAGCAGGTTGGTGGCAATGGGATCTTTGCTGAAAGTCCTATGGGATGGTTTGGGCATTGTTTCTGGTCCCATGGCTTCCAAACCCCACTCCCTGGCCCACTTGGAAATGTGAACCACCTAATATTCTTTTACAAACGTATTTTCTGCTAAAATAAGCTTGAGTGGATTCTGTTGTTTGCAACTTAGAACTTGAAGCAATCTCCCTCTCCAGCATCATTCCTAGCCATTCCTTTTACTTAATGCTTCCGATCTCCAAAATGACTCAGTTTCCAAAATATAGCAGACTAACATCCCGTGCTTCCCTTTTATGGCACTCGTCATAAAGAGAACATTGCTTATTTATTAACTTCTCTATCTCCCTCTAGGAACTGTAAACCCAATAACTCCAGTCACATTCCTACTGTCCTTCGTATATGCTAAACTAATATTCAAATAATCGCTTGTCTTTATCTTTGATCAGAACAATGAGTTGCCACATTGTTCTTTGGTAAGTACAATGAGCTGTGGCAACAACATGAGTTGCCACTTCATATCCACTAAAATGGCTAAAGCAATATCAAGTGTTGGCAAAGACGTGAAGCACTCAGAACTCTTATAACAGAAACTGTTAGGCACTTTTTATAAATATTTAAAAATCTAAACATATACTTATTCTGTGACTCTGCAATTTTACAGCTAGATACATATCCAACAGAAATGAAACATTTCAAAAACATTTGTAAACAAATGTCAGGACAGCTTTATTTATAATAATCAAAAACTATAAACAAAAAGTAAGTGTCGATCAACAGGTAAATAGATAAACTGTTGGTTACCTGGGATGGTACTTAGAAGGGATTGACTGCAAAGAGGCATAAGGGAACTTTCTAGAGTGGTGGAAATAGCTTAATCTTGATTGGTGGTTACATAGCCATATACATTTGTCAAAAGTCCTTGAGTTGTACATTTTAAATAGACCTAAATTAGACTTCAATAAAATTAAAAAATGCATCTACTCAGTATTTACATTTCAAACACTAGAATCCCACTCTTCAGCCTCAAAGAAATTAGAATGTCTCATGATAATGTTATTTATGTGTTTTGTACTTTTACATGCAGCAACAAAATGATAGAGGGGGAAAAAGAAACAAAAAATGACCTTTTTCTGAGCTTTCTCTCCTGTGGGGGCTATCAGATGGGTCATCTAAATGGTATGATATGCCAAAACCGGTTTGGCTCAGTGGATAGAGCGTCGGCCTGTAGACTGGAAGGTCCCAGGTTCAATTCCGGTCAAGGGCATGTACCTGGGTTGCGGGCACATCCCCAGTAGGAGATGTGCAGGAGGCAGCTGATCGATGTTTCTCTCTTATCGATGTTTCTAACTCTCTATCTCTCTCCCTTTCTCTCTGTAAAAAATCAATAAAAAATATATTAAAAAAATAAAATAAAATAAATGGTATGATAGAGAGTGTGAGACGTGAGCCCGTGGCAATCATTTTGCTACCACAGTGAGAGCCTGGAGGGTGCGCTGCCTGGCATGGTCATACAGGTATTATCATTTGACCCTCAGCACCTGAGGAAGTAGATCTTATTGCATTCATGTTTACAGTTGAGCAAAGATTTCTTAAACACATTTCTTGTCACACGGTCAGTAAGTGGTGGAAGTAGGACTTAAACCGAAATCTGTCTCCAAAGTCTTTTGACTACAAACCTGGAAACGGGAATCCTCTATTTCTATAAATATAGGATTTGGGTCCCAGCCACCAAAGCCTGTTTCCTTTGTTTTACAATGATTCGGGTCTCCCCAGGAGAGTCCCTGAATTCTGTGCAACTCTGACCTACATAGGTAAGACACAGACAAGTCAGTCCGTTGTTATTACACTTCATCAGGATCTGCTAACAGATTTTTTTCTCTTTCAGCAATTTCTTTCTTTTTATTTACAGTTGTGTTCAATGCAAACCAATTCCATCACAGAGAAGTTACCATGAATCAAAGTGTAAACACACACACACACACACACACACACACACACACACACACACAATGTACAATCTAAAACAGATGTCCACTAATCAGATATGAAGCAAAAGGGAGTGTTCATTTATACCCATAGTAGCTTGAGATCACGATGCCTTCTAAAGATGGCAAGAATTGACTTGGTTCTTAAGACTAGCGATCATAGGTTATGTGTAATTCCATCTTTTGAGTAATCTAAAGTACTCAGACTCATAGAAGGAGAGCATAGATGGTGGTTGCCAGGGGCTGGACGTAGGGTGGCGGGTGGGGAGGAGTTGGTGAGGTGAAGGTTAAGGGTCCTAAGTTTTAGTTATGCAAGATGAATACTTTTTGGAGATCTACTATACAATAAGCATAATGCCTATAGCTAACAATATTGTATCATCTACTTAAAATTTCCTAATTTAAAGGATAGATCTTATGTTAAGTCTTACCATACACAAAATAATCATAATAATAAAGGAGCCCTAGCTGGTTTGGTTCAGTGGATAGAGCGTCGGCTTGCGGACTGAAGGTTCCCAGGTTCTATTCCAGTCAAGGGCACATGCCTGAGTTGGGGGGTTCGATCCCCAGTGGGGGGTGTGCAGGAGGCAGTCAATCAATGATTCTCTCTCATCATTGATGTTTCTATCTCTCTCCCTCTTCCTTCCTCTCTGAACAATAAAAATATATTTAAAAAAATAAAGGAGACAGAGGCAACTTTGAGAGGTGATAGATACATTCATGGCCTTGAAGGTGGTGATGATTTCACAGGTGTGTACTTAGCCCCAAACTCACCAAGTTGTATCCATTAAATTTGTGCAGCTTTTCACATGTTAAGCATACCTCAATAAAGTGGTTTTAAGAAATACCTGCCCTTACCTGACTTGTGTGGCTCAATGATTGAGTGACAGACCAATGAACCAGGAGGTCAGGGTTTGATTCCGTCAGGGTACATGCCTGGATTTCAGCTCAATCCCAGTGAGGGGTGTGCAGGAGGCAGACAATCAATAATTTTCTCGCATCATTGATGTTTCTATTTCTCCCTTCCTCTCCCTCCCTCTCTGAATTTAATTTAAAAATATATATTTAAAAAGAAATGGCTGTCCTGGCCCTGGCCGGTGTGTCTCAGAGGTTAGAGCAGGGGGTGGGCAAACTTTTTGACTCGAGGGCCACAGTGGGTTCTTAAACTGGATTCTCGCATCATTGATGTCTCTATTTCTCCCTTCCTCACCTCCCTCTCTGAATTTAATTTAAATATATATATTTAAAAAGAAATGGCTGCCCTGGCCCTGGCCCTGGCCGGTGTGGCTCAGAAGTTAGAGTGTCAGCCTTGTGTAAAAAAGTCATGGGCTTGATCCCCGGTCAAGGGCATGTACCTGGGTTGCATGCAGGTTCAATCTCTGGCCCAGGTCGGAGTACGTGCGTGAGGCAACCGATGGATGTGTCTCTCTCACATCAATGTTTCTCCCTTTCCCTAGTCCCTCTCCCTTCCTACTTCCTTCCCTTCCACTCTCTCTAAAAGTTGGGTGAAGATTAACAAAAAAATTTTTAAATGGCTGCCCTGGAAGGTGGTGAACCTCAGAGAGCAGACCTACAACAGGAATGTCCTTGGTGCACCTGAGGAGAGAGGAAGGTCATGTGTCTGATCTGAGTGAAGCAGGGCCAGAGGGAGTTAAGCAGGCAGACCAGACCATGCTGGGCCCTGTGGGTAGCAGCAGGGAGTTCAGATTTTTTCCCAATGCAATGGGAAGCCCCACATTCTCCTCGTATTCTTGTTTGCCTCCGGTTTTTTATTGTGTGTGGGCTTCTTTTTCTTCACCTGCCCCTGAAGTGTTGCTATTCTCCCAGCCTCTCTCCCTAGCCTCTTGTAACCATTCTACTTGGGAGAATCTTTTTTTTGTTGTTGTTAGAACAACTCAGCAAAATAAAATTCCCGTTTATTGTTGGACAACATTGTTTCATGCATACATCAAACGGGCCAAAAAATAAAAATAAACAGCAACTTTATAGACAAAAAAAGGGACAAAAGAAACCTTTTTATCTTTGGCCTTTGTAGTATAGCTACGTACATACACCAAACGTTGCTGGATGCTCGGAATAAGACTTTCTGTTGTTGTTTGTTTTTGCTTCTTTTACAAGGTTTTTTTTCTCCTTTGAGATGATAGTGAACATGGTCACACCACAAGTAAAGTCAGAAGTAGGACAGAGAATGCTCCAAAGGCTGGTTTGTGGTCCCAAGATCATTAAAAATGGCTGACCCCTAACAGTATGGACAAAAATATAAAATGTAAATAAAAATACAAATTTTCCTTTTTAAAGTACTTTTAAGAAAAAAAGGCAGGGCCTTGCAAGTTTTGGTTCTTTTTCCCTCCCCTGTTGCAAATTCACGTTGCGGTTTTGACTTTGGCCTTTGTAACCATCTCATACAAACCAACTGCTTATAGTATAGCTACATACATACACCAAAAGTTGCTGGATGCTCGGAATAAGACTTTCTGTTGTTGTTTGTTTTTGCTTCTTTTACAAGGTTTTTTCTCCTTTTAGATTAATGGCTGACCCCTAACAGTATGGACAAAAATATAAAATGTAAATAAAAATACAAATTTTCCTTTTTAAAGTACTTTTAAGAAAAAAAAAAAAGCAGGGCCTCGCAAGTTTTGGTTCTTTTTTCCTCCCCTGTTGCAAATTCACGTTGCGGTTTTGGTTGGGTGGTGATGGGGGCGTGTCACCTGCCCGAGGTGGGTGGGCGGGCAGGCCGGCGGGAGTCTCTACTTGAAGGTGACCAGGTTTAGATTCTGAGACGGGAAGTGGAGGGTGAATAAGTCACGGTGGCCTTGTTTTGAAATTTAACTTTTCCTACTTTTGCTGTCTAGTCATCCTCATCGGTCTTCTGCTTCTTGGTGACAACATCGTCACCCTCATCCTTCTCAGCTGCCCGTTTGCCCATAGCTGCCTCAGCCTCCTCATCTTCATCTCCATCCCCTTCCTCACCATCACCTTCCTCTTCCTCCTCCTCCTCCCCTCCTTTTTCCTCTTCTTCATCTACCTCATTGTCAGCCTCCTGCTCCCCATTTTCCTCATTAGCGTTCTCTTCGCGGGTGCATTGCTTCCATTCTCTGCCTCCTCCACAACTTCCTTCTCCCTTAAGGCCTTGGTGGTGATCTCGGAGCTGGTGTCCGGCCGGCCGTGTCTGACATGATGGGACACGCCGGTGATCCCATGCAGCGGATTTTTTTTTTTCAAGTGAGAGTTGGAGGAGTCTGGCGAAGCAGCTGCCAGAGTGGAGGGGCGGTGGAGGGGTTGCAGCGAGCAGAGAGGCAGCCTCAGGAACCTTGGGGGAATCTTGATTGCCCTCAGTTGGCAATCGAGACCTTTTTCCTGGGCCTCAGGTATCAAACACAGGCTGCACCCTCCAACCGCCCATTGCATAGTCTCCTCACATTTGTGCAAAGCTCCCCACCCCCTGTCTTTCCCGCTCAGTTAATAACACGACCTGCTACCTAGACATCCAACCTAGAAACCAGGGCATCATTGAGTCCCTCCCTCTCTCTCACCTCTGACAACCAATAAATGATCAATTTTTTTTAAAGCCTCCTAAATATTCCTAAATCTCTCTTTTCCTCCCGGTCCTGCCTAATGCAGATAGCACTCCTAAACCAGTGACCATAGCTCCTCCATGGATAGCGGCAATAGTCCCCTAATCCTCCCCCACCCCAGTCCCCTCCCGCTCAAACTTGCTGTTCTGGCCCTTACCACCAGTGAACTTGCTTAAATGTAAGTCTGCCCAGGATGAACCTGGGAAAGACTGAATTCACAACCTCCCCACTCCCACCCTCCTTCCTGGCCTTGGCAGATGCCTAAACTGAGATAACAAAAGGAAGCCCTGAGAATGGGATTCAGACACAGAAAGAGATGAGACTCGGCCTAATAACAACCAGGAGATGTGCACAGAGGGCCACCATCTCTGCTTTGTGAAAAGTCTGGAAATTGTGCGTGCCTCCCCCACATGAGTTACAGCTCCGAGCCATTGCTCCCTCCCAATTGATCCAGGAAGAAACTAGGAAGAGTGGGCTCTTGGGAGGGGGAAGGAATGGAAAAGGACTGAGGGGAGCGAGGAGCTGGGGGGCGAGAAAGAGAGAACAGAAAAGTGAAATCGAGAGGTTTTGTTTCCCAGGAACTGTGAGAGAATGGCACAGTGGTCAGGGGACACAGTCTCACTTGCTCAGGAGGGTGGGGTGGTCAGCTGAGGAGAATGGCCTGTGAGTACTCTGAGCACTCTGGGTACTGCCAGGTGAGAACATTCACCTTGAACGTGAGAGAAGGGCCTGTTCCTGTGTCCCTGTGACTGATGTGTACTTGATGGCCGACACTAAGGCGGCTGCTTGATGATGTACCCCTCCCCTCACTATTACACTTCTCCCACCTTCTCTCTCACCTTGTCTGGAATGGACTGTTGCCCTCCAGTAAGCGTCTCCTTAGCTCATCATTCTCCACTACTACCTGCAATGATTTCACCCCATAAAGCATACACTCCTGCCCATCTCCTGGCTACTTACTGTCTATTCATCTTTATGACAAACATTAGATGTTTAAGTATTACATAATAGGGAGAAAAGCCATGTTTGGGCATCACACAGTCCTGGATTAAAACTCCAGCTTTACTGTGACACCTTCGCAACCATTTTGTCTCTTATTATCAGTAAAGTAGAGTGATGGTCACTTTTTGCAGGTCTTTCTGAGGATTAAGTGGGCTTATTTAACATGTCTGGCGCATAGTAGATACTCAATAAATGTTAGCTCTCTTTCTTACCCTTGAATTACTCAATAAATGTTGTTCTAATTCTATAGTCATTGAACAACCACTGTGGGATACCACCAACGTATCTGTTAGCATTGCCTTTCCCTTCTTCCTAGACCTCTCTTGACTGGTTAACGTGAGTGCAATCCTCATTTATTACATACTGGGGGTGATGCATTTTCCATGCAGAGTAACAGGCAGAAGCTATCCCTTACGGGGTGGCTGCTCTGTGCCTGGCCTTCACGAGGTGCTTTCCAGCAGTGTAGTCTCTCGGTTAGTACTCACAATGACTTTTGGGGTCAGTAGTATTAATCACTCTCCTATATATGCCCAAATCAAGATTTTGAGAAGTAAAAAAACTTCCCTGAAGTCACACAGCCAGTAATTGATAGAGCCAAGATAGAAATCCGGTCTTCCAGATTCCAAAGCCCATGTCTTTTCAAATAGACCACATTTCTTTTCATGAAAAATACAATATAACAATAATAGTGATAGAAGTAGTTAATGCTTAGCGGTTACCTATTTGCCGGGAACTATTATAACTCTGTACATGCATTAATTAACCTCTACCAACATCCTATGAAGTAGTTACTATTGTTAATTGCTATTTTACAGAGAGGAACTGATGCATAAAGAGGCTAAATAACTTGCCCAGATCACTTAAAGCCGAATCTGTTTGTATATATATGTTGTGAAATGTTAGTCATCAATCTATGACAAGCATTAGGTGTTTATCTTTTTTCTTCAATAAGCATAAGATCCATGATCAAAAGAGAAAGAGAATAAGTAGGAAAGTTTTAGAAACCTTGATGTGCTAGAGCAGGGAAGGGGAACATCAGGCCCACGGGCCATATGAGGCACATAAAATCATTTCGTCTGGTCCTGGCAAGGCATTAGGGGTGAGTTAATTAAATGTTTGACCAAATGTAGCAGGCTAATTTTTAAGTTGATAATTTTGTATGGCCCACGAATGATGTTATAAATATCCAAATGGCTCCTGGAAGGAAAAAGTCCCCTTCCCTCATTTGACAGCCTGAGAAAACTCTGCTATTTTTCCCTTGTCACTACATCATGATCTTAGATAATGTCTATAAATACAGTTAAAGAAATTGACTTTAAGCATAGCTGGTGCTAGAGGGCTGATTGCTGTTATGTTGAAATTAAAGTGAGGGGAGATTCTGAGTGTACTCAGGGTTTGAAAACCAGTGAGGGCTATTCTCCTGGAACTCTGGGGTTGCAGTGGAGGCCATCGCCTCAGAAGGGCAGGCTAGATCCTGAGGGTCACATGGAGGCAAAGGAGCCGGCACACTGCAGTGTGTCACCCACCCCAGGAGACCTATAGAATCAAAGATGATTAGCAGCCCAAGACAGCAAGGACGGACTCTTCCAACCAGCAAGCAGAGCCAGCGACTTGCGCAATCCCTGGGGAGTGTGTGGCCATGATGTCACCTTGTTTATTCCCTGCTAGGGAATCAGGCCCCACTGGGCCTTGATTAACTGCCGGCCACAGACAGCAAAATGACAATGCTTTTTAACGTACTCCTCAGGCCATCAGGAGCTCCCCATCTGAAAGTCACTCCCAAGTAAATCACGGGGATGTTTAATCTTTGCTCTGATTCTGCAATTTAGAAGCAATTCTGTGCCACTTCCCTTCAATCACGGGGCATGTCACCCCTTAAGTGCGGTGTGGAAATCATTCATGCAGACAACATGTATTCGTTAAGTCTCTTATATGTGTATTCACTGAATAGGTGCTCAGGATGTGTTGGTGAATAAGAATGAGGTGGTCCGCCCTGGTCAGGTAGCTCAGTTGGTTAAAGTGTTGTCTTGATATGCCAAGATTTCGGGTTTGATCCCTGGTCAGGGCACAGGCAAGAAGCAAACAATGAACGCATAAATAAGTGGAATGACAAAATTGATGTCTCTCTCTCTCTCTCTCTCTCTCTAAAATCAATCAATAAAAAAAACCTTTAAAAGAATAATATGGTCCCAGTGAGTTTGGAACTGAATCTAGTTGGGAAAGGGAACATTTAAGAAACAGAGACTGGCTGGTGTGGCTCCGGGGTTGTGCATTAACCCATGAACCAAGAGGTCACTGGTGCGATTCCCAGTCAGGGCACATGCCCAGGTTGCAGGCCCAATCCGCAGTAGAGCTGTGCAGGGGGCCGTGCAGGAGGCAGCCAATTGATGTTTCTCGCTCATTGATGTCTCTATCTCTCTGTCCCTCTCCCTCCCTCTCTTTCTAAAATCAACAAAAACATATATTTTTTAAAAAGAAATAATTAGAGTTCTATTAGGAGTTTTTAAAGGAGATGTATATAGAGAGCCATAGAAGCATACAACAGGGGTCTCAACTCCATCTCAAGAGGGCAGAGGATACTTCTCTGCAGAATTGATGTGAGGGGCTTCAGGGATTTGTGTGTGTGTGTGTTTTTAATTTTTTTTAGGCTCTAGCTGCAGCCCCTCTCCTAAGATAACTTTGTATTTTTTATTTTAGATTCAGAAATTTCAGGCCAGGTCTCCAAACAGATTCAACAGAAAACATAAACACACACATGCCCTCTCACTGGCAGGGTGCTGTGTTGGGGCTTTGGAGTTTCCCTCCTCTCTCCACGTTCCCCAGCATCCAGGGTTAGGGAAGGCAGGCCAAGGCCCCAGCAGGCACACACACTGCAGCCTAAGGCAGCACAGTCAGTATTTCCGCTGCGGGGGGAAGAGACTACTCCCTGAGGACCGCAGTTGGGGGCTGGTGGGGCTGAGTCCAGGCTGAACAGGTCCCTGCCAGTACGAAGGATCTGCTCCTCCAGCTTCTTGTGTCGCTTCACGTCTGAGAGGACTTTGTCCAGGCGGGCTTCCCGTTTCTGGCTCCAGGCTGAGCTTCCTGTGGAATTCTCTTCAGGGATTTTTGGTTTTTAAGGGGAAAAGAAACTTTTAAGGATTTTTAGCAGGGAGTGGCATGATCTTATCTGCAGTGTGGGGAATGAGTGGACTATCCTAGCTGCAGTATAGGGGATGGATGGAAGGAAGGCAAAAGGAGAAATGGGTAGACCAGGCGAGAGGCTACCATAGCTGTGGACATAAGAAATAAAGGTGTTTTGGACTAGGGTTGAGGTGGTGGGGATGAGGGCAAGTAAATGGGTTTGAGAAACATTTAAGATCAAGAATTAACAAGATTTGGTAAGATTGAAAGGAGTAATGATGGAAACGCAATTATAGCCCTGGTCGGTTTGGCTCAGTGGATGGAGTGTCGGCCTGCGGACTGAGGGGTCTCAGGTTCGATTCCAGTCAAGGGCATGTACCTTGGTTGCGGGCACATCCCCAGTGGGGGGTATGCAGGAGGCGGCTGATCGATGTTTCTCTCTCATCGATGTTTCTGGCTCTCTATCCCTCTCCCTTCCTCTCTGTAAAAAATCAATAAAATATAATTTTAAAAAAAGAAACGCGATTATAGCTCATCTTTCTCAATAAAAATATTTGTCAAGGGATTCACCTGCATATGTTCAATATTACTTAGTTCCCTTCTGCAGTAGTTAGGTAAAAGGAATGATTGCCCATTTAGGAGCTTATAGGTTGATCAATGGGGCTTCCATTCTTTTAGAAAACACTTATTAGGCATCTTTCAAGTGCCAAACACTGTACTGGGCACTGGGAAAACAAACATGAATGTGACACAGTCTCTATTTTGGAGAGGAAAGAGCAGTGGAATGGGCAGACATGGGTTCAAATTCCCGTATCACTACCTCCTGGGAAAATTTGATTGAACTACTTTAAACTTTGGAGCCTCCGTTTTCTTATTGGAACATGGGAATAAAAATACCTGACTGCCAGAATTGGTATATGGATTAATGAGAAAATGTATGGAAAAGAAGTGCAGTGTGTCATTCAATAAATATTAATTTCTCCCACCTCTCCCCAGCTCCTCCCCCTTCCAGGTTTAAGCACCTAGACAAAAAAAAAAAATTATAAATCAGGTTTAAGAAAGCATTCCTCAGTAGAAAAACCCCAGTGAGATGAGGGATCTAATAACAATATTTCCAGAACATACAACTGTAGTCTTTCTGGATGGGCAAGTTGCTGCTCTCTCTGAAAGTTTTTTCAATTTAAGGAAATAGTATACCTTCAAACAAAAAGCTTGCTTTTGTCCCTATAATGCAAGCAATTACCTACTCCTCTCCCCAGGGCTGGCATTAACCCAACAGCTGTTGAGTATACATTGCAAGACATGCTAGAGTTCCTGGTTACTCCTATAATCCTAAAAGCAACTCAACATTTCCTCCTGACTTCAACTACCAACTGAGTTAGGGGCTTTCTTTCCTTTCCTTCCTTAACACAATGATTTTACTTTCTCATTTCCAGTATTTGCTTCTTTTTCATATTCATTTTTCATTGTTTCCCATTTTTACTTTATGATTTTTCCAGTTTCATTGAGAAATAATTGAAATACCACTTTCATTTTCAACTGTCTTCCCCTTTTATAAAAAATAGATGCTATTTCTCCCTCTATCACTAAGAGGACCGTAAACATAATTATCTTAAAGTCAACTTCTGGATGCTTTATTATTTTCATTTTACCAGGAATGAATTTATCTCTTGATTGTTGATTTTGTTTGGCTCTCTGTTTTTGCATTGAGTTTTGCTTATAGACTTTGGGATTTTGGTTTGCACATTCATTTTGAGGGCACATTTCCCAATTTGGCCTCCCTAGTCTCTCTGCTACATTGCTTTCTTC